TTTCTGGATAAAAAAAGAAACCCCTTCTCTGAGCCTCCAGTGTCTTGGAAATAAATGCCCTATGTGACTGAGTAACTGTAAAATCTAAATTAAAGTAGACGATGCCTCCACACAGTGGTTATCAACTGAATGTGCTTTTGTCTTCCAGGAGACCTTGGTCATATCTGGAGACATTTTTGGTTGTCAGAAATAGGAGGGTGGGTGCCAGTGACACATAGTAAAGCCCCTCTTCCTACCCCTGGGGAAAGCTGGAATTCTTTCTTTCTTTTCTTTTTTTTCTACACTCACTAGTAAAAAACCAACCAAGGAATTCTTTCTTTCTTTCTTTTTTATTTGAGACAGAGTCTTGCTCTGTCACACAAGCTAGAATGCATTGGCACCATCTCAGCTCACTGCAACCTCCACCTCCTGGGTTCAAACAATTCTCCTGCCTCAGCCTCCCGAGTAGCTGGAGTTGCAGGAACCCCTCCATCACACCCAACTAATTTTTGTATTTTTAGTAGAGACGGGGTTTCACCATCTTGGCCAGGCTCGTCTTGAACTCCTGGCCTCATGATCCACCCACCTCGGCCTCCCAAAGTGCTGGTATTACAGGTGTGAGCCACCACACCCAGCCTAAACTGGAATTATTTCTAAAAAATCGATGTGCATCCTATGTGATTGCAACTTCTATTAACTAGTTAAGCGTGACTGCTGAAGGGACAGATTGTTCACCATATGAGAACTGTAAGTTTCACATCCATTAGGGTGGCTGTTACAAAAACAAACAAAGCGACAGAGAAAACCAGAAACATATTATAGTAAATGCTACTGAGGATGTGCAGAAATTAGAACATTTGAGCACTGTGGGCGGGAATGCAAATGGTGCCGCAACTGTGGGAAAGAACATGGTGCTTCCAAAAAAAAATTAGAAATAAAATTACCAGATGATCCAGCAATCCTACTTCTGGGTATAGATTCAAAAGAATTGAAAGCAGAGCCTCAAGCAGATATTTATACACCAGAGCTCATAGCAGCATTATTTACAATGCCCCAAATATGGAAACCATCCAAATGTCCATCAGCAGATAAATGGACACAAAAAATGTGGTCCATCCCCACAAGGTATTTTTTTTTTTTTTTGAGATGGAGTCTTGCTGTGTTACCCAGGCTGGAGTGCAATGGTGCAATGGTGCCATCTCAGCTCATTGCAGCCTCCGCCTCCCAGCTTCAAGCAATCTTCCCACCTTAACCTCCTAAGTAGCTGGGATCATAGGGCATAACCACACCCAGCTAATTTATTATTATTATTTGAGGTGGTATTTCACTCTTGTTGCCCAGGCTGTAGTGCAATGGCACCATCTGGGCTCACCACAAACTCCATCTCCCGTGTTCTAGAGATTTTCCTGCCTCAGCCTCCTGGGTAGCTGGGACAACAGACATGCACCACTTTGCCAGGCTAATTTTTTATATTCTTTAGTAGAGACAAGGTTTCTACTAAAACCTGTTGGTCAGGCTGGTCACGAACTCCCGACCTCAGGTGGTTCTCCTGCCTTGGCCTCCCAAAGTGCTGGAATTACAGGCATGAGCCACCACACCCGGCCATTATTATTTATTTATTTAGAGATTGAGTGTCACTCTGTTTCCTAGGCTGGAGTGCAATGGCACAATCTCAGCTCACTGCAATCTCTGCCTCCTGGGTTTAAGCGATTCTTCTGCCTCAGCCTCCCCAGTAGCTGGGATTACAGGTGCCTGCCACCATGCCAGGGTAATTTTTGTATTTTTAGTAGAGTCAGGGTTTCACCATATTGGCCAGGCTGGTCTTGAACTCCTGACCTCATGTGATTTGCCCGCCTCAGCCTTCCAAAGTGCTGGTATTACAGTCATGACCACCGCACCTGGCCAAATAATGCTTTCTTGAAAGTCCAGACCTATCCACCATGCCCAGAGAACTTTGAGAATCTTTCACTCAAGCGTTTCCCTTCTCCTTCTTATTGCTCCCATGATGAGCTCCATCAGAGAGAACACTTCAGCACCTGACACCTTCTCTCAGAATCCCTAGTTTCCTAGTTCTGGCTTCCTTTCACCTGTACTCCATTAAGTATTAGAACATAGATCATCCATGGAACAGAAGTTCGATGTGATCTCCCTCTATGAGTAGTATTTTACTACAGTGTATTTTCTTTATTCATTTTTTCTTTCTTTCCTTCTCTCCCTCCTTCCATTTCTCTCTCTTTCTTTCTTCCCCCCTTCTTCTTCTTCCTCTTCCTCCTCCTCCTCCTTCTCCTCTTCTTCTTCTTCCACCTTTTGGACATAGGGTCTCCCTCTGTTACCCAAGCTGGAGTGCAGTGGTGCAGTCACAACGCACTGCAGCCTTGATCTCCCCAGGCTCAAGCAGATCCTCCCACTTCAGCTCTCCAAAGTAGCTGGGACCACGAGGATGCACCACCATGCACAGCTAATTTTTTGTTTTTAATTTTGTAGACATGGATCTCACTATGTTGCCCAAGCTAGTCTTGAGCTCAAGGATGAGGAATATTTCACTAGAACTTCCTTGGAAACAGAATGGTCAGCAAAATGTATAAATAGTAGATTTTCCTCATATGCCTTCCTTTGGAGATTATTTCCTTCCTTCCTTCCTTCCTTCCTTCCTTCCTTCCTTCCTTCCTTCCTTCCTTCCTCCCTCCCTCCCTCCCTCCCTTCCTTCCTTTTTCTTTCTTTCTTTCTTTCCTTCCTTCTCCCTTCCCTTCTCTCTCTCTTTCTTTCTTTCTCTCTCTCTCTTTCTGTTTCCTTCCTTCCTTCCTTTTTTTCTTCCTTCTCCCTTCCTTTCTCTTTCTCTCTCCTTCCCCCCGCCCCTCTCTCTCTTTCTTTCTTTGTTGGTCTCACTCTGCAGCCCAGGCAACAGTAGTGCAATCATAGCTCATTGCAGCCTCGACCTCCCTGGTTCAAGTGATCCTCCAACCTCAGCCTCCTGAGTAGCTGGGACCACAGGCGAGCACCACCACACCTGGCTAATTAAAACAAATTTTGTTAAAGATGGGGTCTTGCTATATTGCCCAGGCTGGATTTGAATCCCTGGCCTCAAATGATCCTCCTGCTCAGCATCCCAAAGAGCTGGGATTACAGGTGTGAACCATTGTGCTCTGTTCTGAGCTTCCTCGCTTAGGTGCTATTTCCATCCTCTTCTCTCACAGGAACTCACAAGCCTAGGGAGAGTTCAGCATCCCCACATGGAACCTCAGTGCGGCCAACAGACAGCCCTCTGGTGGAAAAATCAACAATTGGTCCTGCTGGTAAGCTCCAACCTCATCTCCTTCACCTTGTTATGGTCTCCTGGAGCTTTGTTCGTCTCTTTGGAGACTAACATTTTGATCTTTTCCATAAAGGGAAATGAAAGGAATGCCTGTATTGGAGTTTGCTCCCCAGCTACAGGCCCCTAACTTTTAATTTATTCTAGCTTTATGACCATGTACAAATATGCAGTTCTAATCTTTATCTTGTTTTGAGATTCCATTCCAGAGTAGTTGGGGAACAGAAAGCCCAGCCTGTAACCCCTGCTTTTTTTGAGACAGGGTCTCATTCTGTCACCCAGGCTGGAATGCAGTGGCACAATCTCTGCTCACTGCAACCTCTGCCTCCTAGGTTCAAGCAATTTTCTGCTGTTAAAAGAAAGTCAGATGCAGGGGAAAAAAGTGATTTTTGTATCTCAGCCTCCTGAGTAGCTGGGATTACAGGCACCCATCACCACACCTGGCTAATTTTTATTTTTTGGTAGAGACAGAGTTTCACCATGTTGGTCAGGCTGGTCTGGAACTCCTGACCTCAAGTAATCTGCCCACCTCAGAACTCTCTTGGAAGGAATTCTTAATTCAGAAGAAGAGTGAGCTAATCATGCATATGTCTCATAGCACTTTTTTGCATCTAAGTTGTTCTATTTGGGACCAGAAGGTTTTTATGATCTTTTTTAAATTTAGCTTTTGTTTTAAGTTTAGGGGTATATGTGCAGCTATATAGGTAAATTTTTGTCATCAGGCTTTGTTTTAGATTATTTCATCACTCAGATATTAATCGTAGTATCCATTAGTTATTTTTCCTGATCCTTTCCCTCTACCTGCCCCCTCCAAGAGGCCCCTAATTAAACTAAAGAGCTTCTGCATAGCAACAAAAACTATCAACAGAGTAACAGACAACCTGTAGAATGGGAGAAAAGTTTTGCAAACTCTGCAGCTGACAAAGGTTTAATATCCAGCATCTATAAGAAACTTAAATGAATTTATAAGAAAACAACAACAGCAACAACAAACACCATTAAAAAGTGGGCAAAAGACGAGGTGTGGTGGCTTGCACTTATAATCCCAGCACTTTGGGAGGCTGAGGCAAGTGGATTACATGAGGTCGGGAGTTCAAGACCAGCCTGACCAACATGTGGTGGCGCACACCTGTAATCCCAGCTACTTGGGAGGCTGAGGCAGGAGAATCGCTTGAACCTGGGAGGCTCTTAAATTGAGAAGTGGAGGTCAGAAAAGACACAGACTTCTGTTCAGGTCAGAGCAGGGGCCCACAGATGCACACTCAGGAAATCAGTGGAAGTTGCTCTTCATTAGAGATCTCATGACTCTGGCTGGGTGTGGTGGCTCACACCTGTAATCCCAGCACTTTGGGAGGCCGAAATGGGTGGATCATGAGGTCAGGAGATCGAGACCATCCTAGCCAACATGGTGAAACCCTGTCTCTACTAAAAATACAAAAAGTAGCTGAGTGTGGTGGTGTGCACCTGTAGTCCCAGATACCCGGGAAGCTGAGACAGGAGAATCGCTTGAACCCAGGAGGTGCAGGTTGCAGTGAGCCGAGATCTTGCCACTGTACTCCAGCCTGGCAACAGAACCAGACTCTGTCTCAAAAAAAAAAAAAAAAAAAAAAGCTTGAAGGGAAGAACTGAGATTGTCAGTTGTTTATTTTAGAAAACTGTCTGTGGTTATACTATCCTTTCCTTTCTCTCACTGAAATTTGGTCTTCTCAATCAGCGGGGTTGCACAATTCCCCCAACCTCCCATACATATAGCAGCTCTTCTAGACACAGGTTTTCCCAGGAGAAATGCAGGGACCCCAGCCATACCTCCCACCCTGAGAAATTTTGGAGTTTCAGGGAGCCCAGGAGCTCTGCAGAGGCCACCTTCTCTGAAGGGATTTTCTTAGACCTCCATCTAGAGGCAAATGTTGACCCATCCATGCTGAAACCCACAGGCTTTCCTGGGTCACCTTCTCCCACCCTCTCGTGGATGGCAGGGAGCAGCAGCACTAAAGCCACACCAGAAATAGGTTCAGGGCTGACAGGAGCCACCTTGTCACATGAGACATCTACAGGTGTGATTGTGGTGATGGAACACACTCTGCCCTTTACTTCCCCAGCTAAGACCTTGGCCAGCCCTGCATCTTCGGTTGTGGGAAGAACCACCCAGTCTTTGGGCGTGGTGTCCTCTGCTCTCTCTGAGTCAACCTCTAGAGGAATTACACACTCTGAGCAAAGAACCAGCCCATCACCGAGTCACCTGGTCAATGGAACTCACTCTGGGAACTCCCTTGCTACAAGCGTGATCTCAGGATTGAGTTCCCCAAGCACCAGGACCAGTTCCACAGAAGGAAATTTTACAAAAGAAGAATCAACGCACACACTCACTGTAGAGACCACAAGAGGCCCAGTCCCTGAAAGGTACACAGCCCCCACTGAGACCTCAACAACCAAAGGTGACAGCACAGGGACCCTCTGGGACACAAGATATATTCCTGCAAAAATCACATCTCGAATGAAGACATTTGCAGATTCGACTGCATCCAAGGAAAGTGTCTCAGGGTCTACGACTCCAGTTGAGACCACAGTTATGGACCCACATACTCCAGGAAGGACAAACCCATCATTTGGGACAGTTTCTTCTTCCTTTCTTGACTTATCACCTAGAGGGACCCTAAATTCCAGAACTGGAACAAGCCTGGAACTGACTCCATCAACCACTGGATATCCCTTCTCCTTTCCTGAACCTGGTTCCCCGGGGCACAGCAGAATAAGTACCAGTGCACATTTGCTGTCATCTGCTTCGGTTTTCGATAATAAAATTTCAGAAACCAGCATATTATCTGGCCAGAGTGTCACCTCCCCTATGTCTCCTGGGATGCCTGAGGCCAGAACCAGCGCAATGCCCAACTTGGAGATCCCTCTTTCCATGACACTAAGCAATGCAGAAACAAGCTCTGAAAGGGTTCGAAGTACAATTTCTTCTCTGGGGACTCCATCTACATCCGCAGAGCAGACAGCAGAGAGTGTCCTTACCTCGCGTGCCTTCACTGAGACCACGGATATACCCAGCACCCACACAACCAAGACTTTGGCTTCAGAATGGTCAGGGAGTCCAGGTGCCCTCAGTGGCACCAGCAATTCAGTGCTGACAACCACATCTCTAATATCTACCACTTTAGTCCCAGAGGAGACCAACACCCATGACTCCACACATAGAAAGGAAACAGAAGGAAATTTGAATGCATCTATGACTCCACTTGAGACCTCTGCTCCTGGAGAGGAGACTGAAATGACTGCCACTTTGGGCCGCACTCCAAATTTTACCACCCTTGACAGGAAGATCAGAAGTCCATCTCAGGTCTCTTTATCTCACCCAACAAGAGAGCTCAGTCCCACAGGCAGCGCCTCTGGGAGGCAGAGTTCCAGTACAGCTGCTCACGGGAGCTCTGACACCCAGAGGGCAACCACTTACAGCATCTCACCAGCATCCTCATGGACCAGTGAAAGCACAGTTCAGCACTTTAGTGAACCCCAGCACACACAGTGGGTGGAGATAAGTCCTAGCATGAAAAGGGAGAGACTCCCAGCATCAACCAGTGTGTTCACTTCTCCAGCAACTGGTTTCATGGAAGCAGCTTCTGTCAGGGAACCATCAACAGCCATGCTCATGACCGAGAACACGAATGGCGCAGGCACTGTTTATGCCATGGCTTCTGCCAACATTCCAACTGTAAGGAGCTACATTACCAGAAGAAGATTGGCCACGACCCACTTGCCCATTGGAACCACAGCTTCCTCTGAGACATCTACAGATTTTACCAAGGCCAAAGAAAGTGTCTCAATGTCAGGATCTCCATCTCAGTCTATGGATGCTGCTGGCTCAAGCACTCCAGGAAGGACAAGCCAATTGGTTGGCACATTTTCTGATGACTTCTCTCATTTAACGTCTGGAGAAATTACAATACCTAGAGATGGAACCAGCTCAGCTTCAACTCCACAAATGACTGCAACCCACCCTCCATCTCCTGAGCATGGCTCTGCTAGAAGCACCTGGCTTGGCATTTTGTCCTCATCTCCTTTGGCTCCTACTCTCAAAGTCACATCTCCTCCTGCTCCTACTCCCAAAGTCACGATGAGCTCCACCTTTTCAACCCAGAGAGTCACCACAAGCATGACAAAGGACACAGTTGAAACGAGTCAATGGAATACACCTGACTTACTTTCCATGACTTCCTTGACACCAAGTAATATTCCAACAAGTACTGCCATGGGGAAAAGTACCCTGGTTCCCTTGGACCCTCCTTCTCCAGCCACATCAATAGAGGCATCAGAAGGGGGACTCCCGACCCTCAGCACCTACCCTGAATCAACAAACACACCTAGCATCCACCTCGGAGTGCACACTAGTTCAGAAAGTCCTAGCACCATCAACCTCCCCATAGCTTCAGTAGTAAAAACTGGCTCTTATACACCTCTCACCTTCCCTTCAGTAGAGACCAACATTCATGTATCAACAACCGGAATGGAGAAAAATAAAATTGCTTACTCTTCTGGGTCCTCACCTGAGATGACAGCTTCTGGAGAGACTAAAACTAGTAGTACCTGGTCCCTCACCAACTACATCACCACTACGGATCCTAGGGATATAAGTTCAGCTCAGGTCTCTACACCCCACTCAGTGAGGATGCCCAGAACCACAGACAATCATCCGAAGACAGAGTCCACCAGCCCAGCTGCTTACTCTGGGAGCCCTAGAATCTCAAGTCCGCCCAGTCTCACCAACCCAGCCACGAAAGCATGGACCAACAATGACACAAGTGAAGACTCCACTCAATTACATCATGCAAATTTGGGAGAAAAATCACCTGGATTTGAGACACAGTCAACCCCAGGACCTGTCTCTGTAGTAATCTCTACATCCCCTACTATTGGAAGCAGAACATTGGAACTGACTTCTGATGTGCCAGAGGAACAAATGGTCCTCACCACCAGTGAGCAGACCGCAATCACTCTCCCTATGGCAACAAGGCAGAGTACCAGTTTGACAGAAGAAATGGCTTCAACAGACCTTGACATTTCAAGTCCAGGTTCACCCATGAGGACATCTGCTATTTTTCCACCTGTGTCCACACCTTCTCATGAACTTTCAAAGTCAGATACCAGTGCCATTGAAAATACAGGTTCAACCATGTTGAATCAGCATCTAGGATTCAGGAGTTTGGGCACAACTGGGGACTTAACTCCTCTCTCAGTCACAGTCTCCCAGGAACCCAGCATGGGCCCAGAACCACGTCCATCCACCTCAATGTATTCATCCACAGGCACTGCAACCACAGGTGTCACATCCTCAGGGGCGAGATACAGCACTGATGGACCTGAATCTAGGATTCCAGGCTTCCCCAGCACAGAAGCCAAGAAGAGTTCATCACCTCTTCCAAGCTCTACTCTCTCATCTGCAGAACGCACATCCTCCGCAGTACCGATCACTTTGCTGCAAAGTCCCCATTCAACCAGGAGGAGACTCGTATCAGAGGCAACACCACCAGTCAACTCTGTATCTCAGGATGCTACAAGCTCTTCTCCAGGGCGGTCAACAGAGGTGCAAAGTCTTGCTGCGATTTTCAGCTCTGCGGAAACTGACAGCGGGGTCGCACGGACGTCTGGCTATGGAAAACCCGGAGTAGATTTGGGAACAAGTTTTGCTGAATGGAATTCATTTATGCCTTTGACCTCAAGCACTGCTGGGGCCTCAGTTTCCTCTGAGGCAACCACTTCCAGGAGGCAAAGTGACCCCTGGTCAGAGTCATCAGTGACCACGAGAAGGGTTGGGTCAGGATTTCCTTCTTCAGCCTCCTCTGTTTCCCCTGATAGGACCACTTCATTGGTTGTTCCCCGGACAGTGGGTGAAACTGCAGGTTCCACTTTATTCTTCCCTAAAGTGAAGGAAATGTCGACTGAGAAAGTGTCAGTTTCCTCTCTGGCCCTTGGACTACTAGGCACAACATCTCCCATGGCTCTCTCTGGGATCACATCTTCCATGGGCACTGAAGAGGATGCAGGAACAAGCTCAACCACCTCGTGGTCCAGCTCCTCTTCTAAAGGTGAAATAAATTCCTCCATTCATATGTCCTCTATCATTCACAACAGTCCTGCTTCTTTTGATCTGTCCACCAGAGAAGGTTCCAGGGCATCTTCCCTGGATTCCACAGTCCCAACCTGGATCTCCTCATCAGCATTTACCAACCTTCTGGCACAGACAAACCACACTGCTGAGGCCGTTTCCTCCTCAGGAAGCCCAGAGTTGGAGCACACTAGCCCTGGAGTGGAGACTGGCTCAGCCAAAACTTCATCAGGAGCATCCACCTCCTTCGAGGCTGGCAGTGGCCCCCGCTGGACACCCACTTCTCCACTGGCAGGGGCTACAACCAATAAAAGTCAGACTACTGGGTCAGGAAGCACCTATGCTCCTCATCTTGACAGCTCACTTTCATTCACAAGTAAGGACCTGATGATTCTACCTTCTTGGAAATGGGTTTCTGGTCTTTGGTTGGGTAGTCATTGGTGATGGTCAGGAATCTTTCGCTTTGTTTCACAAAGTCTCTTACTCGTACTGCTTCAGAATTCTAGATGATGGGAGATGTCTAACTGGCCAGGGTGGCCACTGCTATTCCCTGTGTGTGGTTTCTTAGCTTACTGTAGAAGTCACCTACATTTGTCCATAGTTACGGGAGCACAGATCCACATCCTGGTTTGTAGCCATCCTTAAGGAATACCACATTAAAAAAAAAAAACCTTTTAAATTGTGATAAAATATATCACTCATAAAACTTACCACTACTTTAACTATTTTAAGGGTACAATTCAGTGACATTAGTTGCATTCACACTGTTGTGTAATCATTTACCACCATCAATCTCAAGACATTTTTCATCATCCCTAACTAAAATTCTATACTCGTTAAACAATGACTCCCCATTTTTCCCTCCCCCAAGCACCTGGTAACCACTATACCACTTTGTCTCTATGAATTTGGCTATTCCAGGTGTCTCATATAAGTGGAATCAAGTAATATTTGCCCTTTTGTGTTTGACTTATTTTACTTGGCATAATGTCTTCAAGGTTCATCACATTGTAGCATGTATCAGAATTTCTTTCCTTTTTAAAGCCAAATAATAAATATGCCATTGTATAGATATATCACATTTTGTCCATATATTCATACATAAATGGACATTTTGATTATTGTGAATAATTGTGCTATAAACATTTGTATAAAAACCAATATTTTATTCAAGTCCTTGCTCTTGTTCTGGATATACAAGGAGAAGTGAAATTTAACAGATCATATGGTATAATACCATTTTTGTATTTAGGATTTGCAACTTCTTCGTAGGGTGACCTATTTTATCATCCTTTTGCCACTTTCCCTAATTGATAGTTGGAACCAGCCCATCATGAATATGAAACCAGGAGCTCCTCCCCTAAATATCCTTGGTTGAAGATGTTGCTTAGTAAGAATGGTGAGAAGAGAAGTATGTGATCTCTGTGTCTACCTCTTTTCTCTGAAATTACTGATCACATCACCTTCTTCATCTTTTCCAACAGGGACTGTTGGGAGTATGGAGCCTTCCAGCAGGACCCCAGGCTCAACAGCTAAGAGTCTCATTCCGTGGTCAACAAGTGATTCTCTAGAACCCAGGTCACCTGCCAGTACAACAGGTATGAGGATGTTTCATCCTTACTTCCTCTTTGTAATTCCAATTGAACCTGTCCTGGTGATGTTTTTTTCACTTGTTTATCATGAGAAGAATGATTGGTTGCCTTAAGTGAGCTTGTTTCCTGGTAGATGGAAAAGTAGCTGCCATCTGGACTTCTCTCCTTGGTCTCACAAGTCATATATGAGGAGAATATGCTATGTGATCATCTCATCCAAATTAGATCTTTGATGAGGGTGGAGAAACCCTGAAGTTCTCTTCATTCATTTATTAGTCCATCCAGTAAGTCACACAGTCAGACATATTGATTTGGTACTCAACTGATCTTTAGTAAAAGGATAAAAACCAAGAAAAGTCCCTTTGCACTCTTAGAGGCTCCTTGTTGTGTCAGACTGTGCCTTGGATGAGGACTTTTGCAGTTTGCAGTTTGAAAATCTCTCTTCACGAGTAATTCTGTGCTTGAGAGTCACTCTGAAAGGCAGCCAGCAAGCATTGCTACTCATGGATAGGATGGAAGTTCCCTGATCATCATTTACATCCTCAAAATTGACCGCCTGGTATGGGAAGACAGCATTCTGGGGATGAAGCATCATCTCTAGATTTCATTCAGTAGGGGAAGCTTTGGAGTCCCAATCTATGTTCCATGAGAAATTGGGAATAGTCAGGAGGTCTCCCCTGCATCCTGTTCATCTTTCAACAACTACCCATTATAGTCATAGGATTGCCCAGCAGAAGCCCAGTGACATAGACTATCCTGCAAATATTTTCCACATTTGGAGGCTACAAGGGTACTTTTCACGTTAGGGATCAATATGAGGAGGGGATTTCTCTCAGACAGATAGCTACAGTGACTGCCAACAGGAAGGCTAAAACTGCCACATCTATCTTCTCAATGACCTCTTTTGTAAACTCCACTTCTGCAGCTGGTACCAATGTTAATGGCATCTTGGGTACCACTCACTCACCTAAAGGAACCTGGATCCGAGGAGAGGTCTATAGATATAACAGGGGACACAGAAATGGTCCCATTTTTTACCTTTTCAGGTAAGAATAAGGCCAGCCTTGAGGGAAGCATTCTAGAAAGAACTGACTGATCACATGCGACAGTTTTATCCATTTTTCCTGAGTCAACTCCTAAAGTAACCATAGATTTTGGGGCAGGACTCAACACAGCCACTATGATTCCACAAGGGACTTCAGCTCTGTCTTTATCCCCAGAGACAAGTTCTAAGGTTGACACTGGGATCCCTGTGGTCTCATCTCCTTCTATTCTTATCACAGGAGCTAACACATCATCTACAAGGAAAGCCACCACAAGCATGGCCTTGGGCACACATGAAGTCAGAGCAAGGGCAGAGTACAGCTCAGCTGTTCTTCCTACCATCTCTTTGAGCAATAGTGTTACCAGCTCAGAAACAGGACAATACATCTGCCACTCTAAATCCTCCATCTCCAAATCTGTCGGCAGAAGGGACATCAAGGGGTGGTTTCTTCCTCAGCATCTCCTCTTGATGTCCCTCCTTCTGCTGATGGATTTGGAGAGGGAGATTTGGGACCTCAGATAAACCCAACATGAGCATTCAAACACATGCCAGCCTATCCAATCCTCTGAACTCTGATCTATCAATGAGTCCTGAAGCCACCAGCTTCACCAGGACTACTTCTTCTGTCCCCTCTCCCTCTCTGGTGCCTGTCACTCCTGTGTCCATAAGCAAAACAGGTGAGACCAACTCTGAATCTGGAACCTCAGTGAGTATGTCAATACCATCAAGAGAGACAACCTGGGGTGGCTCTTTGGACCTCACCTGGGGCTTCCCTACTACTGACAGTAGGACGAGGAGCCTGACTTCAGTCTTGCCGTCCATCCCAGTGGAACTGCTCAGAGTCACAGACAGCTCCCAAAGAACAGGACCCAGTGAACGTGTCCCTGGAGTCTCTGATGTGCTGAGAGTATCTACTCCTATCTCTGCCATAATGACATCATCGGCCAGCACTGAGATCCAGAACACAGATTCAGAAAAGATAGGTCCTGGAGGGGAGACAGTCTCCCCCAAAATCAACCATGGTTCCAGCCTCTTGTTCCCTTCCTCATGCTACTCTGGTGATCCCTGGGGTCACCATTCCAATGACCAGCATTCTAGAAGGAACTTCTTCCAATGAGACATCCACAGGGGCCACAACTGGACTAGATATCTTTCAATCTACCTCCCTCATGAAGGCCACAATGAGAGGAGACAGCAGCAGTAGACCCAACCCAACTTCCTGCAGTGACCAAGGCTCTAGCTAAGACATCCATAAATACAATTATGGATATGGAAACTCTCCTACTTTCTACCTCCACTACTGCCCTGGGATCAAGTGTTCCAAGATGGGCAAGACAATCATTTGCAACAGTTTCCTCTGCCCTCCCTGAGCCAACTTCTAGAGGAGTCACAGAATCCAAGGACAGAGGCAGCCCCACATTGAGCACACAGGAGAGTGACGCTTAACCCTCTTTTAATCCTGGCTCTGTTGGATGAACCCAGGGAAGTACTGGAATCCCTCTGTCCTCATCTTCTTCAGCTCTTAATAGTGCAGCCACTGAGACCATCAGAGTCTGGACCCAGAGAGTTTCCCCAGGTATGACCTTAGACACATCTGAGGCCATAGCACAGACTGAGTTGTCCTCCTCTGTCCTTTCTTCTTCTATTCTGAATACTAGCCTCTAAATGCTAAAATGGAAAAAGGTGAAGCTACCTCCAGGGACCTTCCATCTTCATTTCCCTTAACAGAGGTTGAACACTCAGCACCTCCAGTGAGGCCACAGATGTATCCAGCATCAGTCCCAGGGCACTCACCAGTTCCTCTAAACATGTGGCTTCTAATTTGCCAGAGAGTGCAGACATCATCGAAGTTACATTACAAGCATTTCAGAGGGGACAACCATCTCATCTCACCTCAACCCCATCTCATCTATCCACTTGCCTTCTGTGGGGTCCACCATGAGTTCAGAAACCAGATCCAAGGAGACTGCAACCTCTCTGTCCAAGGCCTCAGTGGAGATCCATAAAGCTGGAAGCAAAACTATCTGGGGTAGCACCTCAGCCCCAAATTTTGGTAATCCCACACCTGACACCTTGGCAACTAGCTCAACTCTGGTTTCAACACCTATCTCAGTAGGAACGGTCATTAACACAGACATCTCTGCAGCAGCCGACACCAGATCCACTGCCCCTGGGAGTTCAGTCTTCCCTGGAACCCCTGTTCCAACCATATCAACAGGAGCCACTGGGTCCAGCCATTAGGGTCCAGTTGAACAGTCAACTCATCTGTGGAATACTATTTCTGCAGGTATAAATCCTAGAGCAGAGACAAAAATCACTTACCTCCTTGGCCTCCTCTGCTCCTGATACTGAGATGAATTTAAGAGGCAGATCAACAGTGGGAAGAATCTCTGAGGGAATTGCTCTCTGGAAAACGTCTACACATCACCCAACCACCATTCAGCACATTCTTCCCATGGAAACCACAACAGCGGGGGGTAGCAAAAGTAGAAGCAGCTTGACCCCAGGAAGCACATCACCAGTTAAGGCATCTTCAAGAATGATATCGGCTACATTAAATGCTGTGGTCTCCACTATCCCAAGTGAGAGCACAGCAGTCCCTAGCTCTGTTTGTGCATTGATGACAAGTCAATCATTTGAGACCACTCATTCTCAATGAGTGAGACCACTCCCACACTCAACCTCAGGAGGAATCACACATTCCACAGAGATAACTGGCTCTGTACTAACTCCACAGACAACAAGGAATCCCACCTCACCTGAACCAGCTCTGTTGCAGAGAGCTTTACTCTTTCACCGGACCATGGTGAAGTCACAGGGACCAGCACGTATAAAATCAGATGTCTACATCAAGAATGGCTTCACCCACATCAAAACCCACAGCAAGTATGGAAGCCAGCTCACATACACTTCACTTCACATCTCTGAAAAAGCGACCAGTCAGCACTGCAGAAGAGGAAGGTAGAGCCACTCCTGTTCCTTCAGTCTACAAATCCAGTCATTAAAGGGCAAACACAAACTTTCCTTACACTCAGAAACTCCCCCTGAAATGAACAACAGTGAAATGTCCTCTTCACCACATTCATCTCTTGAGACCTTAGGTCCAGAAGGAGGCACCATCATTGATTCTATTCCTGGAAAGGTCAACAGGCTCTAATCTGTTCTCTTCATTCATTCCAGTGGGAGAAGTTTCTTCCATGGGCAGCACTGCATTATTAAATACCAGCCCAGTCCCCTACATAACAACTGCTCCTATCACCGCACTGACAACCACGTGGACCAGTGTGATTGAACACTCCACACAAGCACAGGACACCCATTCTGCAATGATGAGTCCTACTCATGTGACACAGTCACTCAAAGATCAAACATCTATACCAGCTTCAGCATCCCCTCCCCATCTTACTGAAGTAGACCCTGAGCTCAGGACACAAGGGAGGAGCTACCTCAAGGCAACCACTTTTTGGAAACCATCTACAGACACACTCTCCATCGACATCGAGACTGGTGCAACAGATATTCAGTCCACTCTACCCATGGACGCCACAACAGCAGGGAGCAGCAGTAGTGGAGTCGCCCTGGGTACAGCCCACCTTCCCATAGGAACATTCTCCCCAACCGAGACATCCACAAACATGGCACTGGAAAGAGGAAGTGCTACAGCCACTGTCTTCATGGCTGGGACAGTGGGACTCCTAGTGACTAGTGCCCCAGGAAGAAGCATTAGCCAGTCATTAGGAAGAGTTTCCTCTGTGCTTTCTGAATCAACCACTGAAGGAGTCACAGATTCTAGTAAGGGAAGCAGACCAAGGCTGAGCATACAGGGAAATACAGTGCCCTCCTCTTCTCTTAAACCCAGCTCTGCTTAAGGAAGCCAGATGAGTACAAGCATCCATCTACCCTCATCTCCTCTGACTCCTGATGTAGAATTCATAGGGAGCAGCACATTTTGGACCAAGGA